CCGCGTCATTCCATCTCGGCGTCCATCGTACACAGCGTCTGCTCGAGCGCTTTCTACTGGTGGATTAGCTTGGATCGTTCCGTGCGCTGGTGGCTTCGGGCGTGTTTGGTATGTCAAGCTCGCAAGACTTCACGTTAGACCGCTCGATGGCCCGTCATCGCTATGCCATAGCCGCAGGGGCCTGGTACGGTCGCCGGCGTCGACTTCTTCGGACCTCTGCCAGTGACTGCCAAGGGCAACTCCTACATTTTGTTGTTCATAGACCATTTCAGTCGGAGAGCCGACATGTTCGCAGTTACAGCGGCGGAATTTACGGCGAGAGGGACGGCTCACATATTCGTCAACCAGTACATGACCAAGTGGGGATGTCCGACTACGTTGTTGTCGGACAACGGACTGTCTTTCTGCTCGAAGCTCTCCATGGCGATCTACGAGGTGATGAAGATCAAGAAGGTCACCACCAGCTCCTACCACCCACAGACCAACGGCGGCACTGAACGCGTCAACCACACGATGGCCCAGATGCTTGCGGTGGTCGTCAACGAACAGCAAAACGATTGGGACATACATCTCCCGCACGTTGAGTTTGCCTACAACAATTCCGTGAACCAGTCTACTGGATTAGCGCCAAACGAGATCCACATCGGACGCATCCCGCGACTCCCGCTTTCGGTCTTCGATCGTCCCACGGTAGGTGGTCATCAAAGCTTGGCCCGCGATCAACTCGAGTATTGCAACCTGGCTGTCGATCGCCAGCGCCGGGCCTACGAACTTGTCCGCGAGTACAACGCGCTGAAGATTTCGCGAGTCTAACGCCGAAATTCATCCCTGCTGGACGCCATCCACAAGCTCCATCAGTTTACCGTTGGCGGGTGGGCTTGGGTGTTACAACACGGCTGCTACAATTCGACAGGGTGTGCAGAAGGACACGGACCAACAGGTGCTCAAGGCCAAATTCGCACTTTCCTGGACGAGGCCCTACAAAGTTCTTGCGATGGGTCCCAACTCTGCCGACGCCACTTCGGACGGCCGCCCGTTGGCGCATAAACTCCTCTACCTGGACCTGCCTTCCGATCTTTCCGGCCCGGCAGCTCGTTGTCGCGTGTCTGTCCCTCGTTGCAAGCCCTGTCGCAATCCGTACGAGACCGACGACTTGCCGCAATCTCTGCCCGCCGAGCTTTCGCGTTATGTTCTGCACTCTTTCGGAGATA